ATTTCCCGACTTAGTCGGGAATTGACACCGGGAATCGGGATCGGGATCGGGAGGCCAAAAACTCGGGAAATTTTCCCGAGTCGGGAGTCGGGATCGGGATACCCGAGCATCACTAACAGACACCCTTTTTCCCTCCCCAATTTTTCTAATATATTTTTACAAAATGGTCAGAATTTTTCCTTTCTTTCATCCAATTTGCCTTTCTAATTTATTCCTACAATCGAGTCCACCCCTGAAGACCTACACCCCCAAGACCTACACCCTGAGGACCTACACCCTGAAGACCTATTTACCCTGAAGACCTACAACTTTTTGATCAACACAATTTTTTATTTTTTATTTCTTCACAAGTCTAATCGGGGGATTTATAAGTGGTAAAAAGGAGCTAGGAGGAATTAAGGGGGATATCAGATGGATTTGAAGTTTTAATGGGGATAAACTGGGATTAAGGGGGATATCGAGGATTTTGAGGTTTTAAAGTGGATAGAGGGATTTATAGGGATAAAGAGGATCTTCTCGTATCCTCGATATCCCCTACTATAAACAATTTGAGTTGATCAAAAAGTTGTAGGTCTTCAGGGTAAATAGGTCTTCAGGGTGTAGGTCTTCAGGGTCAATAGGTATTCAGGGTGTAGGTCCTCAGGGTGTAGGTCTTGGGGGTATAGGTCTTCAGGGTTGACCCCCTACAATCAAACAAAAAGGATTATTTAATTTTATACAAGTGCAAGTACATGCAAAAAACAACTAAAAGGAGGTTAGGGAGGAAAAGCATGAAATAAAATATCAAAAATAATCCGTTTTGTTTGATTGTAGGCAAAAATTAGAAAGGCAAATTGGAAGGAAGAAAGTAAAAAGTCTGACAATTTTGTAAAAATATATGGGGAAAATTGGGGAGGAAAAAAGGGGGTCTGTACGCTTCAATATTACCAAATTTCTAAATAAAATAATGTCTTCAATAAATATTTTGATTATTTTTATTTACTTCATTTTTGTATTATTTCAATTCAATTCAAGTCAACAATGTAGTAAACATGAAGAAAAATGCAATGGCAGTGATAAAAAATGTTGTCCGCATCTAAATTGTAAAGATACAAAAATAAATGGTGGAATATTTGCATATAAATGCTCCTATGGTAATTGTGTTCACGAAGGTAATCCCTGTGATGACAATGGACGAGGTTGCTGTTATGGTTTTAAATGTAATAATCGTTCTTCTAAATGTGAAAAATGCTTAGTTAATGGTTCGGATTGTGATGCTGCATATAAATGTTGCTCAGGACAGTGTGATAGTTCAGCACTCAAATGCTATTAATACAACTGAAAATAAAATTTTTCTTTTAATTTTATAACTGGATTTACTTTTGAGGATATATTTTCGCTTTAAATTCATCTGTTGAACAAGCTTTATAATCATTTTTTACTTGTTAAAATTTTCTTTTAAACTAACTGAAAGGGAGACTTTCTTTGGGTATTAAAAAATTTATTTAATTGTTTTTACATAAAATTAATTAAAAACTTCCAAATTTATTTTTCTTAAATTATTTAATAATTTTTTAAAACCGAAATTTCACATGGATAAAATATGAATTGAATATTCTGAAAGAATATTTTAGCCAAAAACCGTTTTCATTTAACCATAAATAGAGTCAATCAAAAACCGAATACAGGGGGTCGTAAAACAGCTAAAATTGAAAACTGGGGTTACTGGTTAATAACCGGTGGTCGCCAAACGCCATGGCGCACAGCTCTGGTTGTATCCCACCCTAATTTTAAGTTGTGTTTACTCCGAAAAGTTCAAGCCTTTTTTATGATCTTTTTATTTTTAGGTAAAAAGATTTTACTTGAATAAGATAACATTAATTTATATCCAACTATAGGACTTTTGTCTTGTTCGGTGGAAACTAATTTGGAAATGAGATTTTGTTAAAGCGTTTTGTTTATAATAATAACAATTATATATTAATTGAAGAATTATTTAATTTTTGTTTTTTTTTGTTCGAAAGTTGTTTTTAGATTTTATTTTCGTCAACAATAAAAATTTCTTAAATAATTATTATTTTTTTGTTCTGAAAATAAAATGTAAATATCCCGCTCCCACCCCAGCCTAGATCTCAGATTAATTTGAGATCGAAAAACGAAGGAATAAAACAGAGCAGGAGCCGCTGAAAGCGTCATTCGAAAGAAGAATCTTTTTTTCCTTTTTTTCAAATTTATGGATAAGTCTGATCACTCGTTAAAATGTTATAAACCGATAAATGTGAAAAACACCAAATAACTGGAACTTGCCGAGCTATAACTTTTTAATGAGTGATCAGTCTTGATCCATCCTTAAAATAAGGTACCGTTTATTTAGAGCTTTCGAATGGCGTAAAATTTATTTTAATTGGATCAAACAATATCGAACTCTAATTAGAAGTAAGTTAGAAAATCATTAAATTCCACAATAGTCAATAAATTATTTTAAAAAATAATTTTATTTTTCGTTAATACTTATGTCGAGTCATGAGTAGAGTCCGGATTTTTATTGAAATAAAATCACAAAATATGGCCATAAAATATTGAAATAAATGGGCGAAATATTGACAAAAAATGCCAAAAAATAGTGAAATATTGAAATAAATTATGGTTTATTAGTACTTCGTTCAGAATCATAATATTGAAAAACTAATGGCATATTTGGGCTTCTCTCGATATAGTGTGTTTGCAAAAAAAACATTTTATTTCAATAAAATCCGGACTCTAGTCATGAGCCTTTCTAAAACAGAAATAATAAATTTTATTAAAAATAAAAATAATAAAATTTAAATTTTGCCATAATTGCCTTTTAAAAATACAAAAATAGAAAATAAACCCTTCAAAACTCAAAATTTCTCTTGAAAATACCCGGTTGTTTAAATATTAAATAATGGAGAAAGCATAAAATCGGTGAAAAGTAGCGTGATGTTTATTTTCTAGATTAAAAATTAATGGTAGATCAGGTATAAAATGGTACAAAATTGTATAAATGGGTAGAAAGTACGTTTATTTAAATGAATATAAATACTGATGTGAGGAGGTTAAGTATTCTTAAGTAAAGAATTTTTATAAAAATAATGTCTTCAATAAATATTTTAATTATTTTTATTTATTTAATTTTTGTATTATTCCAATTCAATTCATGTCAACAACAATGTAGTAAACGTGAAGAAAAATGCAATGACAGTGATAAGAAATGTTGTTCTGGTCTAAATTGTAAAAATAAAAGAATAAAAAATGGAATATTTGTATATAAATGCTCCTATGGTGCTTGTGTTAACTTAGATAATCCCTGTGATGACAATGGACGAGGTTGCTGTTATGGTCTTAAATGTGACCCTCTTTCTTCTAAATGTAAAAAATGCTTAGTTAATGGTTCGAAAAGTGATTGGGCAGCTGACTGTTGCTCAGGAGAGCGTGATGGCACAACAGGCAAATGCTATTCAGACCAATGAAAATAAAATTTTTTCTTAAATTTTATAATTGGAATTACTTTTGGGGATTTATTTTGGCAAAATTTTCTTTTGAACTAACTGAAAGGGAGAATTTCTTTGGGTCTTTAAAAATAAATTTTTGTTTTTTTTCATAAAATTAATTTAAAAACTTTCAAATTATTTTTCTTAAATTATTTAATAATTTTTTAAAACATTATTTCATATGGATAAAATATGAATTGGATATTCTGGATGAATAATTTACCCAAAAACCGTTTTCATTTAAACAAAAACGTCAATCTAAAACCGAATAACGGGGGCTGTAAAACGGCGATAATCAGAACCGGGGTTGTTGGTTAATAACCGGTTGTGTCCCAAACTAATTTTAAGCTGTGTTTACCCCGAAACTTTTCGATTCGGGGAACTATGTCTTCACTTTTTTCGGGGCGGGGTTCGGATCTGAATAAATGTGAAAACAACTCTTACGGTTACAACTTATTAAAAAACCAAAATTTAGTGTTCTTAATTTTTTGTGAATTTCCAGCTCTATAATTGAGTCCGATTTTAATGATTTTAAATAATAGAAACTAAATTTGCCTTCTTCTCGTGATTATCCGTATTTTTGCAAACTGTCTAACGATATTTGGAACGCGTAATTTTTTGAAAACTTATCATATCTTTTGATTAATTATAGATTTACTAAAAACTTTAATAAAATAAGGAAGAAAAAAAGTAAAAATTTTTTGGGGGTGTCGAGATTTTTTGGAACGGACTTTATATCGAATCTTAACAAAACAATTTTCCTTTTCTTGTTATCATTTTTACTACGTAAAATAAAAATATTCTATCACTATTTTTGTTTAATTTAAAAAACATCCATCCATTCTGCTAAACAATTTCGACCTTCAACACATTCACCGATTATTCAATGCTTTTATTAATCATTCCTTTCACAACAGTTGTTGTTTACACTTTTATTTAATTTTTTAATCGAAAACTGATTTAATCTAAAATTTTTTTGATTAAAAGAAAATTGGTTTAAAAGGCTTTAGAATTTTTTTTTTTGCTTTTTAGTTTTGAATTGAAATTTAATTGAAAATTAATTTATTTATTGACTTCCTCTTTACCAAGTATAAGGGATTGTTAGAGAGACAATTGAAAATTTAATGAGATTTTGAAATTATAATTTTGACTGACTTTATAGAAGAATAAAAATATTTTTCTCTTCAATTCTTTCAATCTTTTTAGTTTTTGACTGAAATAAACAAAAATAATTTGGAAAATTTTTAACTTTAGGACCTGAGATCGGACTTGGCGATAGGTACGTCTCTATAACTCGGAAAACCCTGATTCTCGATAACCAAGATTCTTGTTCGATTCTTGTTCGAAATCTCGTCTCGGTTCGATCTCATTTTATGAAATTTCTTTCTCCTCACTTCCTCCATATTCTCCTAATTACCCCTTTTTACAACAGTTAAGGGGAAAGCTACCGAAATTTTAATTTAAAATTCATTATTTGTCGAGCTCTAATTTTTTAAAAATTAAAAGGAAATGGTTAACAATTTTAAAATATTTCCTTTTATTATTTCCTTCATTTTATTTTTTCTTATTTCCAATTCAAATTCTATGCGTCAACAAGCTATAGGGGCTAAAGGAAGATTGTTGTGTGGAAGTAAACCTGCAGCTAATGTTCTTGTTAAACTTTATGATAAGGATACAGGCAAATTTTTAATTTTTTTAGTCAACAGGTTTTACTATAATTTGCTTTTTCACGTTTAAAAGGAAATACTCTAAATTTTAGAAGGTTTACATAGATAAACCAGGAACTCATGTTAATAGGCGTTGAGTTTATTGTTTTTTTGAACAATAAATTATTTTTAAATTTCTTGGTCTTGTATTTTTTTTTGTCTTGCGACAAAAACACACTCAAAATTTCAAGGATTTCAAAATACAACCCTCTCACATACATTATCTAAAAGAAATAAATTCTAAATCAAGATATAACATGGAAAGGGATTCTACAATGAAGGGGCATGTCTCTAAGATAAATAAAAATATAAATGTATTTTTACATATTAAGTAATTTTCCACATAATATTTTTCATTTTATTAAAAATTTGTTTGTTCATTTATTCCGAAGTACTTTTTGTTTGTTTTACAATCAAAAATAATTTTGCAACAAATTAATGGCTACTTTTTTGTTATTTCCATTTAAGTAGATTCTCTTTGTAAATCAATATAGAATTTAATATTTTTTAAAAAAATCTAAAAAATTCCAGGAATGGATCCAGACGATCAATTAGATTCTACCCGAACAGATGCAAACGGTCATTTTCAATTGGCGGGGGATGAGCGGGAAATGACTAATATTGATCCTCAATTAAAAATATACCACGACTGCAATAAAGGGATTAACGTAAAATTTATTTTAAATTTTTTATTAAAAAATTTCGCGCGAATTTAATAACTAACCTGGGTAATTATTGTTTCGACCTTTCACTGTATGGAGCAATAAATCGAGGGAGGGTAATTATTTGAGGTTTTAAATTTGAAACTGTTTTAGGACATTTGTTTGGGGGTAATTATTATTTCAATCCAACGCTGGATGGGGTAATTATTTGAGGGAGGCCAATTAATACAGGTTATACGGTTGAGGTCCGTCTAAATAAAAATTTAATAACTCCTTTTTAGCCCTGCCCTCGTAAATGGATTTTGAATCTCCCAGATAAATACATATATTCTGGCCGTGCTCCCCCCAAAGTCTACTATGATATGGGCGAAGTTAATCTTGAGGTGGAAATTGAGGGAGAGTCTTTTGATTGTATTCATTGAGAGAAAAAGAATAAGTTTTTTAATTAAAAAATTTTTTTTTATTTTTAAAATTTACCAATATTGTCTAAAATATAAAAAAATTATGGCTTAGGCTAATTAATACAGCCTGAACTAACTTGTACAAGGCAGATGTGTTAATCGTAGTGCGACACTTGGGGACGGCATTTAGAGGTTGGGGACAGACATTGGGGGAGACCTTTAGAGACCGTGTTTGAGTAAAACTTTTTTTTAAATAATATCAAGGGACATGGAGAGATTGCGGGAGATATCGAGAGATTTTGAGAGAGTAAGCGGGGTATCGAGAGATTAAGATGAACAACATAAAAGGAATCTACGGCATGTAGGGTATCATTTAATGATTGTAAATCGGTAAAAAGGAATAGGTTTATGTTACTCTCTCTCCGACTACCATAAATTTAACTGGTTTATTTTTGTTCGCCCTTAATCCAACTATATCCATCTTAATCCCTCGATACCCCCCTTAATTCCTCAAAATTTCTCGATATCTCACTCAATCCCTCCATATAGGAATTTTTCGATATTTTCATTCAAAAGAATTATTCCACAGATTGTTTAATACGTACCAATTGAAAACCTCTTTTAAATATCCTCCAGAAAAGGAAAAATTACAAGATCACCCCCTTAATTTTCCCGATTTTATTTGTAAAAATTAGTTTGTTAACAAATAAGACATAAGACTTATTGACGTAAATAAATTTGTTTAGATTGACAGAAGCAAAGAAAAAAGATAAGAATTTTTATTTTTTATCAGTTTAGTGATTTTATTACTTTAATAGACAGAATGCCAATAAATAGGAAAATAAATATTTGTGACATTTTATTAAAGATAAAGCAAAAAAGTGGAGAATTAAGGGGTATATTTTTAGTTTATTTGGTAAAAATGAGGAAAATGGAAGGGGGAAATGTAAGGGGTATTGACGTAAATAAATTTAATGGACTGATTGGGGGTAAATAAATTTTTGAGAAATTATAATTTGAGAAATTATTTTTGTATAGATTGTTGTAAATAAATTATTATTTGATTAATTAGCTTATAAAATAATTATTTAAGAAAATAATTGATCTGTTTAATTTCCCTCGATTTCTATTTGCCGTTAATGTACCGAAAGGGTAATAGTGTCGTTTCCCGGTGTACGGAATTTTGGTCACTGGAATTCTGGTCACCAAGGATTTTCGGAACTTTGGTCACCAACTTTTTTGGAATTTTGGTCACTAGCGGAATTTTGGTCACCAAGTCAAAAAACGGAATATTGGGCACTGAAATTTTGGTCACCAAGAGGAATTTTGGTCACCAAACGGAAAAAAATAATCTTATCTAAAACTGATATCAAAGTGATAAAAAATGATTTTTAAACCCCCAGTTGATCAATTTCAATGTTTATCACTCTTCCGGCTGATAACTCTCTCGGTTTATCACTCTCAATCACTCTCCCGGAAGATTGATTAACCGTGAAAGTGATCAACATTGAAAATAATCATCAGGTAGTTGAAAAACAATTTTTTATCACTTTGATATCAGTTTTAGATAAGATTTGTTTTTCCCGTTTGGTGACCAAAATTCCTCTTGATGACCAAAATTTCAGTGCCCAATATTCCGTTTTTTGCCTTGGTGACCAAAATTCCGCTAGTGACCAAAATTCCAAAAGAGTTGGTGACCAAAGTTCCGAAAATCCTTGGTGACCAGAATTCCAGTGACCAAAATTCCGGCACCCTCGTTTCCCAGCCCCCTTTTTTTCCTACCAATTTTCTACCCTATGTTTGTACGTAATGGTCAAATTTTCCCCTTTCTTTCATCAAATTTGCCTTTTCCATATTTTGCCTAAAAACAATCAAAAAAGATTAATTTTTTATTCATTTCTTTCACAAGGATAAAAAAGTGAGACATGATGCCAAAAATTATAAAAAACATTTTCAATATTGCCAAATCGTTTTCGCCACATAAATTCCGGGAGATAACTTTTATAGGTTTCAGTGTTGTTGCCAGCTTGATGTTGCCAGCTTGAATTTTTCATATAAATCAATAGGTTTGAAATTCTTTAGTTCTTCCATTTTTATTAATTGGGAAAATGATTCTTCTCATAATCTAATACTTATTTAAATATCACAAATTAATCTTTTTGATTGTTTTTAGGCAAAATATGGAAAAGGCAAATTTGATGAAAGAAAGGGGAAAATTTGACCATTCCGTACAAACATAGGGTAGAAAATTGGGAGGAAAAAAAGGGGGCTGGGAAACGACACTATTACCATGGAAAGTAATTAAGTGTGAAGTGAACCTGAGGTTTGGGTTTAATAATTTTTGTATAGATACAGTACAATAAGTTTGTGTCAGGGATCTAATACACTACGACTTTCTTGCGAGATTATGGCCTAGGAGCTGACCGGTCTCTAACCGGTCAAATTAAATATGTATATTTTTCAATAAATTAGACAATAATATACTTTAACTAAATTATCGCTTAGCATTGGCTTGGGGAAATGAAAATTATTATTTCCCCACATTTTGGGGAAATAAAAATAAAATTGTGGCAGTTAATGCGATAGTACCTTTTTGTCAAAAATAACTAGAATCATATTCCAATATCTGAATTAATATTAACTCCAAAAAATCTTTTTTTTGTGAATTTTTTACAAAATCTCTATTAATTAATTACTTAAAAATCTAAGTTCAAGGTAATTTTCGCTCAAAAATACATATTTATACCAATTCCCTTTATTCTATCTCACAGCTGTTCTTAATAGCTTTTTGCTATCAGCACCAATCATTTAAGTTTTTAGTAATCAATTTACGATTAAACTTTGAGCTCTTATTTTTATTATTTTTTGAGAAATAAAAGTTTTTTGTAGTATTTTTAAGTAAATCTTAATTTAAATTACCCAAATTTTTTTAAACATTTTAGAAGGTTCGAAAACCCTCTATCCAAAAATACCTTCTATAGTCTGGGAAAACATCTAAAAATTTAATTCACTACTTAAAATTAAAAAAAAATATATTTGAATTTTTATATATTAAGTAATAAAAAAAGGAAAAAATTAGTTTAAACTATAGTGCTTTCTTCTAAGAAATTAACCAATTCTAATGCAATATTAATTTCAGTTATCATTTTCAACTGAATTTATTTTTTAAAAATTTTAATAATTTTTAGCCGAATATTTTTTTATTTTTGGGGATTAAATTTTTATTATATTTTTTAGCAAATCCCAGTTTAAACCAAATTAAAAAAAAATTTTAGAAGGTTCGAAAACCCTCTATCCAAAAATACTACATAGACCTCGAAAAAGAAATTTACTATTTAATTCACTGTTCAAATTTAAAAAAATATACTTGAATTTTTATATATTAAGTAATAAAAAAAGGAAAAATGATTAAACTAGTGCTTTCTTCCAAGAAATTAACCAATTCTAATTTTAATTTTACTTATGATTTTCAACGGATTTTTTTTTAATTTTAACAAGTCTTTTAGCCAATTTTTTTTGGGAATTTTATTAATTAAAAAGAATTCTTAAGTGTATTTTTCAAGCTAAATTGAAACAATTTTAATATAAATTAAAATCCAAAGATATTAAAAAATTACTCAAAAAAGATGGCATTTCATCCCATTAATCAGCCAAAACAAATTTCAAAAAATTTAATTATTTTTATTCTCATTTGTTTGTTTTTAACAACAACAAAAGCCTTTAGAAGACAATCAGCAGGTGTTAGAGGGGTTCTATTTTGTGGAAACAAGCCTGCTAGTGGAATGCTTGTTAAATTGTTTGACGAGGATGATGGTGAATAATTATAAATAATTTTATTTTTTACTTTGAGAAAATAAGATTTATTGACTTGCCGATTCAATTTCGGGCAATCCAAATTGGTAAAATCCAGGTCGGATTCAAAAATTTCACTTATGCACCTACAATCACAAAGTGACGATCATTGGAGGGTTAATGAACCTTTTATTCAAAATTAAAGTCTAAGTATATGAAATTTAAATAAAAATTGTAATTCTTACTCCAAATTAAATAAAAAATTTTTGGATATTTGTAATTTTTAAAAGGTGAAAATTATGATATCTATGGTTATGATCTCAGAAAGGACCTACTGATGAGGACTCGAAAAAGTTTACTCAAAAAATTATTTTAAGTTAAGAGTATGTTTATCTTATGTCCGAGCATATTAAAAAACTCTATAGAAGGTATAAAGCCAGTTGTATATTATTCTAAATTGGGGATCCCCGACACTTCCGACCCCGAAGGCTCGGGGTGCTACACTAGATTAACTATTTATACTACAAAAAATTTCTAAAAAGGTCCTGACCCCGATGACGAGTTGGACAGTGCCTACACAGACAATCAAGGACGTTTTGAATTGAGTGGGTCAACAATGGAGTTGACAAACATTGATCCAGAATTGCGAATATGTAATTACAAAATTAAAAATAAATTTAATTTTTTAATTTTTAATTAATTAATTAGATCATGATTGTAATATGCACGTTCCTCTTTGTAAACGGGAATGGGTTATTCGAATTCCAGACAAATATATTTCTTCTGGAACTAGTGCTAAACGATTTATGGAATTGGGTGCTGTTAATCTTGAAGTAATTTTATTTGAAATCAAAAATATTCTAATAAACGCCCACTTTCTAATAAACCCCTTTTAACGAGAAATCGTGAATTTGAGGCTAGGGGCTTTTATTGGAATAATTTCATTAATTACCGTATTTTTCCTAATAGTGCGACTCTCTCTATTTTATTGGCCCAGTAGGCATTATAACTGAAGTTAAATATGTAATGTTAACATGTTTTTAGTTCATCGTTTAGTAAATTTAGTTTGGAATAATTAAGGGAGTCCTGCAGAACTCCCGGCCCAAAAATTATTCTCTTCGATCAGTTGATAAACCTAACATTTGATTGAAACAAAATATGTAAATTAAATAAAAAATATAATTTTGTATATTAAACATTTTTTCTTATTTTTAAAAAATTTAAGCCGCCCGTTTACTAAATATACTATAATCTAGGGTAGCTCCCCGTCCCCCGTACCCGACGATTTTTTGGCAAAAACCTCGACCCGAACCTCGAATGCTCTACCCCGACAAACCCGGTCCCCGACGCAAACCCCGAGTCGGGGTAGTGGTAAAACATACACCCCTAAGGATAGGAATTTTTGGAATTTTTCGGAAAATTTAAATGACCAAAATAATTTAGACAAAATATTTTTCCCAAAATTATTGGAAAAGTCAAAATATAATTATTTTACAGGTTGAATTGGAAGACGAAAGTCGTGATTGTATCCATTAACAATTACAGTAAATTGAAAAATATTTTTATATTTTATTTAAAAGTAATAAATTTATTTAATTTTTAAAATTTAAATTATTTTAATTGTTTTTTAACAAATTAATTTTTTTTTAATTTTTATTTAATTTTATAATTCAGTTATAATGCCATTTAGATAGAAATTCTTTCTAGTGTCATTATAACTAAAGTATAAATTGAAAATCAAAATCTCTCTAGCCTCTTACATGATTACATCCTCCAAAAGGGAAAAGCAACTGAAAAACGCATATCTAAGAGTGTATTTAGGAAAAACCGAGGATATTTTGGGTATTTTCTGGATATCTTCTTATCTCCAAAAGACCGATAACTCTATAATTGGGATAAATTTAAACGGGCCAACTCCCCCTATGATCTATAATTTACTCCAAAACTTAAGTGAGGCTAGAGAGGACGAGAATTAAAGAGAGACACTCTCTGTAATTAGAGAGACACTTTCTTAAAAAGAGATACTCTCTCTATTAGAATTAAATTTAAAAGTTTAGAAAAAAAACAGAAATGGGACTTCATTTAATTATTTATTTAACAATTATATCAACTTCAATAAATATTTTATTAGCATCAATAGTTCCTGAACAACATAGTGGAATACAATCATATAGAGTAAATTGAGATAAAATTAAAATTATGATCCTTTACTAAATTTAAAGGTAAAAGGACGTTTAATGTGTGGAAATCAGCCAGCAGCTAATGTCCGAGTTAAATTGGTGATTTTTTGAAGTTGAAATTAATTTAAAGAAAATTTTTTGTTGAGGTTGATGACGATTTTGGCCCAGACCCAGATGATGATATGGACAGTGGATATACCGATACACAGGGCAACTTTCAGTTAAGTGGAGATACTACTGAATTGACAACAATTGATCCTCATTTAAAGATTTGTGAGTAGTAAAATTTTATTTTTGAAGAACTTTCAAGTTCATATCTGCAATTAATTTTTTACATATTTTGGGGAAAAGTGAATATTTGAAAATAACTACATACACTCTGTTCCAAAATTATAAGGTTACATATGATAAAAATAGGGTGACCTTATAATTTTGGAACAGAGTGTATTTATAGCCATAACGACGCAAAGCCCTAACTTTGTACCCCAATAATTTGCGTCATTATGGAAGAGAGTTTAGGGCGATTAGAATTTTTATTTTTTCGAAAGAGAGAACACTAAACTTTGCGTTATTTGATTAGAGATCGAACCGAGACGAGTGCACCTTCAATAACCTCGGTTACGAGATTTATCTATTTTCGAGTTATAAATCTTGCTGGTAGCTAAGCTTTAACTACTCTTATATTTTTGTGGTGTTAATAAAATCAGAGTTTATTCCCTGTAAACATTGGATGGATATAGAGGGATTAGGAGCAATTAAGAAGGGATTTTGAGGGGTCAATAAAATATTTATTGGGGAGCAAATATACAGAGGCCTCTGAAGTAAAATTTTCCGCAATCTGCAATTTTAATCTTAGAATCCGCAAACGCAATCCGCAAATCGTTGCGGATTCAGCCCTGAATGAAGCACAAATATTTCCTTGCTATATCCATAAAATTCACTTTTTAACAGAGCGCAGATCATGATTAAATTTTCTTTTCAGAAAAATATTTTTTTTATTTTTTAAAGATCACGATTGTAATGACGGACTTATTCCATGCCAACGTCGCTGGAAATTCGAATTGGTTTATTTATTTTTAATTCTAAAATAATTTTATATTTTAAGCCAAATCATTACATTACAAGTGGCAAACACCCTCACAAAACTTTGGATATTGGAACTTGGAATTTGGAGGCGAAGATGCCTGGAGAGAGTCATGATTGTATTCATTAAATGAAAAAATTAAATTTTAAAGATTTTTGTGCAAAATATATAAAAATAATTTTTTTGATAAAGAATTTTTTTACTAAAATTAATATCTTTAATGAGAAAACTACATAATTAAAAGAAAGCATAATTTTTTAATTTATAAACTGAAGACTAGAATCTAAATTTTTTTTCTTCCTCTCATTTACAGGAGGAAGAAAAATTTTTTCTCTCTTCCTCTCATTTTTAAAATTAATCGGGTACGCGTTTTTTGGCATATCCTTCTTCAAATTTTTTTAATTTTATTTCAGAAAAAAATAGTACATACATAGAATTAATTTAGGTAAAGCAGAAGGATTTATTTTTATCATTTCCAAATAAATTGAGTTAAGAAATAATTTTAGTAAAATAGTAGATATGTGGGTTTTTGAATTAATTTTTTAGAAAGAACCCAAGGAAGTTTCCTTTATAAGACCCTAAAATAAAGTTTCAGAATAAAAAAAGCATTAAAACTTGATTGGAAAGGGGAAAATGAAAAAGCATGTTGAAAAAGAAGAAAAATATAAAATTAATTTTATAAAAAAAACAGAAATATATTTTAAATATTCAAAGAAAGCCTCACTCGTAGTTAATTCAAAAGATTATGAAGTTTGATTTAATAGATGAATTTAAAGCGAAAATAAATCCCCAAAAGTAATTCCAGTTATAAAATTAAAAAAGAAAAATTTTATTTTTATGAGTATGAAGAGCATTTGAGTATATTGCTATCACAGTGTCCTGTGCAACATTCAGATGAATACTTACAATCTGAACCATTAACTTTGCATTTTTCACATTTAGAAGAAAGATTATTACATTTCAAACCATAACAGCAACCTCGTCCATTATCATCACATTTATTACCTTCGTGAACACAATTACCTTTGAAGCATTTATATTCAAAGTTTCCAAGATTTATTCTTGTATTTTTACAATTTAGACCACTACAACATTTACTATCACTGCAATCTGATCCATGTTTACTACATTGTTGACTTGCACTGAATTGAAATAATAAAAAAATGAAGTAAATAGAAATAATTAAAATATTTATTGAAGGCATTATTTTATTTAGAAATTCTTTTTTAAGTTCTAAATTTTAATAACTTTTTTATTTCTAAATCGTGTCGGGCTATCTCAAGGAACAGACAAATCAAGGAAAAGAAAAGTCAAGGAATGACCAAACGATTAATCATGGAATATTTTAAAAATAGAAATTTTTTGAAAAATCTAAATATTTTTAAAAACTAAGAGTTTAAAAAAAATTAGAATGCTTTAAAAACATAATTTAAAAAGAATTCTGATTTTTAAAATATTCCATGATTTGGTCTGGTCGTTCCTTGACTTGTCTGTTCCTTGAATTGACATTCCTTGAGTTAGCCCTCACCTCTTCTACATAAATTAGTATTTTTGCAAAAAAATAATGAGAATTATTAAATAAATTTTAAAAATGTAGTGGCCAAAATTAAATTTAAAAATTATTTTATAGGCGTTTAAAATTTGAAGAGATCAATTTGGCTCAAATTTTTGAACCTTCAATTCTTATTAATATTTAAATTTAAGTATTTAATTTTTTGCTGTTTAAACAAAAAATAACATTCGAAAGCCTGTATTTTTAAAGAAAAATACCACGAAAGGATCAATTTGGTAAAAGTTTTCGAACCAAAATTGTAATTAACCGACCATAGAATTCGCGAGGTAGAAGTGAGAGCCGGAGCAGTTCAACTGAGTCCGCACGATTGAGTCCCCACGATTGAGTCCGCACGATTGAGTCCCCACGATTGAGTCCCGGCACAATTGAGTCCCCACGATTGAGTCCGCACGATTGAGTCCCCCTTGTATATACCTCAATTGAGTCCCCGTGGATTTAATAAGTTTAAAATTTCCATATCCGGCATGCGGGATTATTTCAAAATTTCTATTTTTTAAAATATAAATGCCGGACAGACCACCTGTGCACCCCTGCTGCACCCCACATACCCTCCGTAGCAGCACAAAACAGTTTTCCAGCGCAGATTCAGTTGGTCATAACTTTGTTCAGAATCATTGAATCAAGCTGATTTTGATGTCATTCGACTCAGCTTGTCGAGCCCTTTCGAATGAGGTATAATTTAATATTCGAATTTTTTGTCCCCAAAAATTCCCCCGTGGATTTGACCATTTCGAGCCCCATATCTCGGCGAGAACCATGTTGATTTTTGTGTCATTCGACTCAGCTCATTCAAATGAGCTGTCATTCAAAAAATCTCTCGATATCCCTCCTAATCCCCAAATCCACAATATCCACCCATATCCCCCTTAATCGCTTAAATCTACTTATATCTCTTAATATTCACCGATATCCAACTTGATCCCTCGATGTCACATACAGGTCCCCTGATGTTCACTTTAATCCCCCCAAATCCCCAGATATCCCTCTTAATCCTTTTTAATATAATTAAATCCACGGGGACTCAATTGAGGTATATACAAGGGGGACTCAATCGTGCGGACTCAATCGTGGGGACTCAATTGTGCCGGGACTCAATCGTGGGGACTCAATCGTGCGGACTCAATCGTGGGGACTCAATCGTGCGGACTCAATTGAGGTGTACCGGTGAGAGCTTTAAGACTTTCAAAACTTGACTCCATTTTATTTAAACAGCAATAAAATAAATGCTTTTAAATTTAAACCAAATAAAAATTTAGAAATAAAATTTAAAAATGCTCCCTTTTTTGTTTAACTAAAAAGTATTTGCCAATTTTTGAGGTATCGCGTTTGTATGTAATGATGGCACATTTGTCATATCACAGTGAGCGGATACGACCAAACAATATCCCTCTTCATTGCAACAACATCCCCCGTCATAGGAAAAACATCTCCGTTGTTGGAACAACATCCCGAAGAATTGGGACAACGTTCACCGTCTTTTTTGCCTTGTTGGAACAACCTCTTGCTGTAAGGCGGCGGTAGGTTGAGCCTGTGGCAGGTTGGACCAGCGGTAGGTTGGGCGGCAGTAGGTTGGGCCTGCGGCAGATTTGGCCCGCGGTAGGTTGGGCGGAGGTAGGATGGGCGCGGTAGGTAGGGCCTGCTCCCGGTCTTCAACCTACATCTACAGTCTATATGTATTATAATATATCAATGTTGTCATCATATACTGAGGTTTTAGGGAGTTGGATGAAGTTATGAAAAGATGTTACCCAAGGCAAAATTTTTAGTATAAAAGCCAAAACTTACAGTATATTCAATTTCTTCGTAAACTTCTGAAATGGCTTCTGTCTCGTTCTTCGTGCGGTTTGTGGCCATCTTGTTGTTGGTTGTCAGCATTGTCTATTGTGACGTGGTTGGGCATGGCAAGCATGAGCTGGTCGACGGGAAGATTGTAAAGCTGCGGGGAAACACAAAGATAGCTGAGAAACCTGAGGATCTTGAACTTTACAAGAATATGCCGGGCTCCTGTGATGTTGAGATGGATAAGGAAGGAAATATGTAAGTTTTGGGTGCTTTAAACAAATCAACTCCTTATTTAACAGAACACTCTGGTATCTTAAACTTTCCAACACAGCAAAGAAAGGATGCTCGATTGATTTCGTTATGCCTGATATCAGCACCATGAATGTGAGGTTCGACTTCCCCATGTATTTTGGTATCCAACACAATAAAGAATTGACGGATTGCTTGGACGATTTTAAATACGACAAAGCAAGTGAAGCAGCAGCTTTAACTTCTAATATGTTTGTTTTATTGAAAAATTTCATTAAAAATGTAATTTTTAGGTTCGCCTTCACCTACAGTATAACAAATGAGGAATTCTATAGAGTCAAAGGAGGATATGCGGAGAGGCACAATATTTTTTGTGTTGATGCGTCGGAATGCAATGATATCGGAGGCAAATGCTTGGATGTTGCTGATTATTCTATTGGATGGGCTCGAAGAGGAGATTTTGTTAGAAGTGCAGTTCAGCAAAGTTAGGAATTTTTATTTTCTAGGAAGGCTGATTACGGTCTTAATTCACTTTAAAACATCCTGCTTCCATGTAGCCTCAAATAGAGGGGCATTCCCAAGTTCCCCCCCCCCTCCCATAACGGCGCAAAGTCATAACTAGCTGGAAAATTTCTAACCCTTATCAATTTTGGTACCAAGTTCTTTAGCTCGATGAGAGGAATCGTTTAATACTAAATTTGTTAAGATCGAAAATCTTGAAGCAAGTTATGCGCCGTTATAACCGAGTTCCTACTTGGGCTACTATCTTTTTACTTGGGCTCCGCTTTAGTTGGGGAGTCTCTCTCCGCTTCTATTTGCTCCTATCTTTTTTAACTTAGAATTTAACTTCTTTAATTTTAAGCTTATTTTCAGTTGGCGAGTTTAATTATTGGATGTCCAATACTAAAAAGGAGCATAACAAGCACGAGATAGAATCTTTTTATTATTTTGATACAAAAATGGAGTTAACAAGCGATGCTGGAACCCCGAGCACTTATCGCTGCTTCAAAAAAGAAAATGTTCGCAAGCCAAAAAGATGGAGAATTACGGATGAGGACTATACCAATAAATTATACGCTCATCTCTTTACTTTCCACATTCTTCCAAGATCTTCTATGCAAATGAGCATGCAAAATATTTTGAATAAGTGTAATGAAGTTGGTAAGTGTGGAAAGTGTGAAAGTCATATAGATTGTTATGAAAATGCGGCATTCCAAAAGTGTGACAAAATGTTTGTGAAATTTGTAAGTTTGAATTTTTGTTAAATCATACAGTATAAATATAGCCAGGAGTGTGACACTTTGTCCTTTGCTATTTACAAAAGTTTCGGCCAAATTATCTTTTTTTTATTTTTCTAATCACTCTTAATTAAGGATTTTGCCCTCTACAAAGTGCTCGTTCCTGATAATCCAAAACAAACGACTACAGAAGTTACTGAGACGACAACGATGGTTACCTGCCCACCTGTTGTAAACTGTCCATCTTGTGTCAGCTGTCCGCCTGTTACCAACTGTCCGAGTGTTGCTACCAATACCATACAACCAGATAATTCAACCGAAAAAGGCGAAATAAAGCCTCAAAATGGAAGTAGTTTGCCTGGAGTACCGTCAACTTCAAAACCATCTTCACCTGCAAATGATTGCTACAACGAGGAGACTAAAAAGGATTCAAAGAAAACTTTGGTGATTACTCTCGTTATTGTTGGCTCTATAATATTGTAAGGGTTTTAGAAGGATTTTTGGGCAGAAAATATTCCTTTTAATTTTTAGGCTTCTAATGTTCACTGCTCTTCTCATCTGTCTATTCGTCAGCAAAAGCAAATAAAAGGAAAGGATTCGGAATAGTTGGATAAATATAAAGGAATTGTTGTGATATTTGTTATTTAATATTGGATGTTCTATTTCAATATTGTAATATATTGTAATGATATTGTAATTGTGTAATAGATAAATTGTAGTTTTTAACAACCCCCTCAAAATAACTTTAAAATGTCTCCCCAAAATGACTCGATTTAAAGCGATCTTAATATACATTTCTTAATGTAATAATACAAAAGATTGATCCAGCACTTTAAGAATTTTTTAATATCAAAATTGTCTTGAAATTTCATAATTTAGTCTGTTTAATCTTCTCTCAAAGTTAGAGCCAAAATTTTCTTTGACAATCCGCATACAGAAATACAATTTAGAAAATAATTTATTTTACTATTATGGGATTTAAAGTTTAATTTAATAATAAATCTGGGATACCGTCCGATGTACAATATATCGAAATCATTATCTTAGAAACCCACAAAGTCCCCAACTTTAGTCCACAATATGCACAAAGTGTGTATTTTATAGTGAGGGCTGATGTTTTCCTATTTAAAATTTTATCTACATTTTTATACATAATTATGCAAATTTTTATTTTAAAAAATATTAAAAATAATAAATTTAAATAAAAAAAGATTTATTTATTTAATTTATCCGTTCAAATAAATTGATTAAAAATAATTTTAGTAAAATACTAAAATAAATTTTTTGAAAAAAGGATTAATTAGTATTGAAAACCCCAAAAAATTTCTTCCCTTAAAGACCCTAAAAGAAAATTTTGCCGATTAAAAAATGATAAAGCTTCATTAAAATTATGAATTTAGAAAGAGAAAATAATTTAAAAATTCCACATTCAACTAGTATTTGCAGGCAGGGCTTGGATCTGGAAACGAAAAAGTTGGAGTACATTGTCCAGAGCAACATTCATTATCCTCCTTACATCCAGAACCTATAGGTGTGCATTTTATACATTTAGATCCAACACATCTTAAACCATAACAACACTCTTTGTCATTATCATTGCAAGAATTATTTTCATGAACACAATCTCCTTTGGAACATTTATATTGATAGTGTCCTCCAACTTGTACACTTTTACACGTTAGCTTATCGCAGCACTTCCAATATTTGTTATCGCAAATATCTCCACTTTTCATACATTGTTGTTGACTTTGATGAAATACAAAAATGAAGTAAATAAAAATAATTAGAATATTTATTGAAGACATTTTGTATTTTTTAGAAAATTATCTTTTTTAAAAAGAGCTGCTAAATTCCAATAATTTTTTATCTGTTTTAAATAATAATTAATTATTATAGAAGCTGTGAAAAAATAAATTTAGTTTTTTTTTCATAAGATTATTTTGAAAAATTTGTTTTTATTTATAACTTTATCTTAAATTTTGGCAGAAGCTTAAATTATTTTTTTTAATTTTTTCTGAATTATTAGGAAAATTAAGATCGAGCAAGCATTCTGACAAATAAAACGCTTAATAGAAGCAAGGGTTTGTGTAATAATGTTTTGACGTTTAGCATGTTAGATCTCTTTCGGCACGTCAAACAATACTTACCTATAGACCCCAGCTGTTCGCAATTACGTATTGCTAAAATTGCGTTTCTCAAGGATTTTTGCGGATTTTTTCTACAAATTTAATGAAAAGATGAAAGCAGCGCCACTATAGCTCAGTCGGTAGAGTAATTGGTTGAAAAGTAATTGGTAAGCAAAATTAACTAGCCATAACTGCCAGAAGGGCGTTAATTAAGGCAGCAATAATAGGTCTTCCTACTTAAACTCTTACTTAAAAAGTTTTAATTTCAAAATTAATATAGGTATTATATGAAACTGAATAATTTAGTATAGATTTTTAGCGAGAAATAAAAAAATTTAATTAAATAAAATTTAAAAATGAATTGGCTAAATTAAAATTATTTTTAAAGGCAAGAATAAATTTTTGAAAAAATAATTTTTGGTAAATTTCTGCTAAATGATTTACGTCAATGTTTTTTTATTTTATTTTTAAATTTAATTTTTTATTGATGTTTAAACTCCAAAAAAGCAGTTTATTCAAACGATTCTGCTATTTTAGTTAAGCATAAGCAAATATTTTGTTTCTTGCAGCACAATAACATGCAAAAAACATTATAGAAAATTATTAAGGATTTTTAAAATTGACTTTTCAATTATTTAAACAGCAATAAAATAAATGCTTTTAAATTTAAAAATTAATTGAGCAAAAAAATTCAATAAAAAATTTAGAAATTCTTTCCTTTATTTAACTAAAAAAATATTTTTTGCAAGCATAATGATAAGGTAAATAATTAAAGCTTAGTGGAAATTTTTATTCTTTTTAAAAGATTTATTAAAAATTGATAATTTGAAACGAATTTGAGAGATCTCATATAAAATGTTGTATCCACTGCACACCAGCCGTCCCGATTCTCGAAAATCGGGAATTCCCGACGTTTTTTGGGTCGGGATCCCGATTTCCCGAAATTGGGAATTTTGTTTTTTTTTTGTCGGCAGGATCCATGCAGTACATGTAAAACGGTGTATGTATTTTTAATCTCCGAGCAACTTAAGCTTCCGATATCCTCTCCAAATCCAACTTTACCCATAAATCCACTGATATCTAGTGATTAGTAGGGAGATCGAGAATTTTGGGAGCAAAAGGGTTATATACCCAGTGTTGGGTATTTGCCATATTATTTCGAAAATTTAGATGGATCAAAGTGGATATCGAGTGATATTAGGTGATTAAGAGAAAATCAGATGAGATTATTTTGAAAATAAATTTTAAAAGCCGTTAAGAAAGTTGATTCATCGAGGCAATAATCGGACTTGAGACATTGCTACTAGTGTTTTAGGCTTAATCATACCTAACTTCAAATTTATCAACACTTAGCCGATCTCGACAAATTTTTTAGTATAAAAAGGGATAAACTCCACAAATCTTTATTCAATTTTCTTCAAAAGATTCTAGAATGGCTTCTGTTTCTTTCTTCGTGCGGTTTGTGGCCATCTTGTTGTTGGTTGTCAGCATTGTCTACTGTGACTTGGTTGGGCATGGCAAGCATGAGCTGGTCGACGGGAAGATTGTAAAGCTGCGAGGAAACACAAAGATAGCTGAGAAACTTGAGGATCTTAAACTCTACAAAAATATGCCGGGCTCCTGTGATGTTGAGATGGATAAGGACGGAAATATGTAAGTGAACAGATAATGTTAAAGAGTAACAATTTCCTCATTTAACAGAATACTCTGGTACCTTAAACATTCCAACACAGCGAAGGAAGGATGCTCGATTGACTTAGTCTCAAAACATGAGGATGATATCACCCTAGAATTTGGTGTCCAACACAATAAAAAATTGGACGATTGCCTGGCAGACAGCGGGAAATATGATCGGAATGAATCAAGAACAGGCAATATGTCAGCTATGACCTCTAATTTGTGAGTTTTATGGAAAAATTCGTTAAAAATTTAATCTTTAGGTTGGCCTTCTCTTTCAGTCTGAAGAACGGCGAATTCGATAGAGTGAAGGGAGGATATGCGGAAAAGCATGGAAGCTTTTGCAGTAATGCTTCGTTTTGTCACGATAGTAAAGGGAAATGTTTGGAGGTGGCTGATTATTCTATCGGATGGGCAAGGAGTGAGGATTATGTCCAAACTACAATTCAGCTAGGTAATTGCCCCGGAGTCTCCAAGCTTAAACGATTATTTTATTTCTAGTTGGTGAGAATCGATTCTGGACGTGTAATAAACGTGACCACAAGCATAATCAGAATAATGAGGCATCCAGCGATCTTTATTATAACTTTAATGGAAAGGATTTTGAGTTTCACGAATGTCATCCAATCTCAAACAAATCCTTCCGTTGCTTCAAGAAAGAAAATATTCGAAAACCGGAACTGTGGAAAATTACGGATGAGGACTATACCAATAAGGAATACAGTAGCCTCTTTACTTTCCATATTCTGCCAACATCTTCAATGCAAACAAGCATGCAAAATATTTGGATTAAATGCCATGAAGATGCCGATAAGGAGGATTGTAAAGAAAATGCGGCATTTCAACAGTGTGACAAAATGTTTGTGGAATTTGTAAGTTTGGATGTTTAAAATTGAAGAGATTTCCTCATCGTTTAGGGTAAAATCTCCTTCAAAATGCTTGTTCCGGATAATTCAGTCAAAACTACGGAGATAAGTAAAACTGAAAGTGTGGAAAGTACAGATCATTGGGAACCTGAACAGGAATCGAGTTCAATGCCAGCCAAGTCAACTGAAGAACCGCTCTGGAAAATTGAGAGGCGTCTATGGACAACACCTTCAACACCTCCTCCCAGAACATTCCCTAAAGTCACTTTTGACTTCAGTTGGACTAGGAAGGCTCCAAATAAGAAAAGTTCATCCGGTGTTCTAATTATCATGTGCTTCATGATATTGTAAGGAATTATGTTTTTGGTAAAAAAATTTTTTTCAATTTTCAGTCTTATGTTATTCATTGCTGTCTTCATCATTTGTACGGCAACCGCGTTCAGTGAAGGATAATAAAATGGGTGGTAAAGGAATTTTTAAATAAAGAATTGTTGTGATATTTGTGATGTAAATATATATTCTATCTATAAATGTAATATAGTCTGATCTTCCTTATTTTATCTTCAGTTTTTGAATATTTTTAAATTAATTTTCAAAGTTAGACACTTATTTTCTGCTGTTTAATTAATAAAAGCCGTTAATTATCAAAAAAAGCCTTGGATTTTGAATAGAAAAATTGTTTAGAATTTTTAAAAATTGAAAATATTCATTATTTAAACAGCAATAAAATAAATGGGTAATTTAAAATTTAATAAAACAATCTATTAAAAATTTAATCAAACATCTAAAGATTTAAGCTATAATTGATTCATTTTCTATTAATCGTTTTTAAAGAATTTTTGGCCAGGATCCAAAGCGATATCTTTTAATTTTTTGCGTAAATCTCGCCAAAAATAAAAAAATTTAATATGAATAACGTAAAAAGTAAATTGGAGGGATCGGGAGGGATATGCGGAGATTAAGAGAAATATTAGTGGATTTGAGCAAAAGTAATACCTATCAGGTGATTTATGATTAAGATGGAAATAGAGATAAAAAGATTTGGGGAAGATATTTTATGAATTTATAAAATAAAAAAAATTTTTAGTTTTTCTCTTTAGGCAATTTAAAACATTTAAATTTGTTAATATGTATGTATTCTGACAAAATATTTTCGAAGCGCAATTATTTTGAGTTTTATCTTTAAATTTTTCAGCAAGTATTACAAACAATGAACTACGCAGCGAATTAAAACAACATAAAACAACAAAGTCTGGCGCGCCCTTTCGATGGCATTTTTTGTTTTAATAAATAAATTTAACAGTCATGATTATAACACAATTTTTAGTCAACAATTTTTATTTTTAACATTGGGAAGAATCAACAAAAATTTCCATCAAACAGATATTGTAAAAAATAAAAAGATGTCTAAAGAAATAAAAAATTTTCTTTCATGATCCTAAAAGAAATTTACAGAGTATATAAAGAATTAAAACTTTTTTGAAAAGGGGAAAATGTAAAGAATTTTGAAAAGACGATGAATATTCCCTTTATAAAATTAATCATGTCAATGGTCATTCCATGCATTACACTTCTTTCCACCAGAATCAACACAATTTCCTGAGCAACAATCGGATGGCCCTTTACAAACAGCACCATCATGTGTGCATTTTATACATGTATTAAGTGAACATTTAAACCCATAACAGCACATCTGACTATCGTCGCAGTGCTTCCCTGGTTTAATACAATCGCCGTAGAAACATTCAAACTCAAATAGGGTATTAGGCATTCTAGCATTTTTACAATTTAGCGATTTGCAACATTTTTTATTACTATCATTGCATACTTGTTTATGTTGACTACATTGTTGTTGACTTGAAGTAAATAAAACAAAACTAATGTAAATAAAAATTATTAAAATATTAATTGAAGATATTTTCATTTTTTTAGAAATATTTTTTCTAGAAAAACTGCAAATTGAATAATTTTTTATTTATTCTAAATAAAAATTAATTAATAAAAATGCTTAAAACTAAAAATATTTTATTAATAAAATAATTTTGAAAATGTCAGTTTTAGTTATAGCTTCGTTCCTTAATTTTCATGAAGCTTAAATTTGAAGTTAAATTTTTTGATTGTAAGGAAAATGGAAGATCTGGGAGCAGGTCAACTTACCGCATGCCCAACTTACCGCAGAGCTATAACTTCATTCAGAATTATCGAATCTGGGACGCCCTGTATGGTTCGACGCGCCTTGACGAGTTGAATTGAAACATACCAAGACGTCTCTTATTCAACCATTTTGAACGAAGTTATAACTCTGCGGTAAGTTGGGCTCGCGGTAAGTTAGAATGTACCCGGAAGTTCTAGTTAACTGCATTTATTTATACGATTATATTTTCTCATATTTCAGTTTTAAGAATTTTTAGTGAAGCTACGAACCCCGACATGACCTTCCCGGCTAACTCAGATCTCTTACAGTGCCGACCTCTATCGTCGGAGTGCTATCCTATTTAAAAAACTGCTAGTAGGTAGCAGGAAACTTTTACCTCTCCCTCATCAATTTGAAATTGCACGCTATGCTATCTTAACAAAAATAGGTCTAAAAAGAGGTCTTAAGCAAAAATAGGTCTTTATTCTTACTTAAAAACTAAATTTTACTTTTTAAAGGTAATTATTTTACTTTGAGTAAATTTTATATTTTTCTGATAAAAAATTATTAAATAAAATTTTAAATAAATTGGCTAAAGTAGATTAATTACTCATTTTTATAAGCATTTAAAACGAGCAAAAATCCATTTAGTTCAATTTTTAGTATATTTTTGAACCAAAGTTTTTAAATAATTTTTTATTAATTTTTAAATTTAAGCATTCATTTTTTGCTGTTTAAACAATAAAAATAGCCGTTTATTCTAAAAAACCTAGGATTTTGTAAGAAAAACAAGTATAATATTTTGAACCAAAAAGGCCAAAAACAAGTGTTTTGAACCAAAAAGTATGAGCAAAAAAATCTAAATTTTTCCTATTTTTGAACTTAGATCTTAAAAAAGATATGTTAGTGAAGTGGGCATATGAAAGAAAATAAGTACAAGATAATCCTTCCATCTTCTCTAAATATTTAATTGTTAAACCAGCGCTACAATTCATACTTAATTTGAATTGGAACAACAGGATTTTTTTATTCAACAATTTTATTTGATAAAAAAATTCATAAAAAATTTCCAAAAAGTTGTGTCATTAATACATGTTATGGCCAAATTCCCGTTTTTATTAATTTTCACAATTTCTGTTAAAACTTTTTATGAATAATTATTAGCTTATTTTTATAAAATAATTTCTTTTATATATTCTTTTTATCAAAGACTTTTCCCACTTTTTTCAATTTTTCATTAACATTTTTTCTCTCCAAGATTTTTTTCTTATTTTTTATTTTCCCTTTCCTATTGTTAGGCCCTAGTGATGTTCGAGAGTTAATCAAATATCCCTTGCACTCCTTTGATATTAGTTTAATCTTTTAGAATTCGCAGCATCCCTCTGAATCACTTGTCTTATTAGATTCAAGCCTATCAAAATATCCAAGTGAGTGAAGTCTATCAACGGGGTCTCGAATTTATTAGGCATATTAGGCACGATCTGAAAAAGGCCGAAATTCAAAAAGTTTAAAAGTTAAAGCCAGAGAAACAGAAAAAAATTGGGGTGGGCTTATAATTTTGCAACGTCTCTTTTGTAGATAATTTATTTTAAAATAATCTTTGCTTTTTACACAACCTTGCATTTTTGTTATCATAAGATCGTTGACAAAGTTAACCTATTCAGTCATCATTCTCTTTACCCTTTTAGACAAACATTACAAAAACTATATTATCTTTACTTTCTTTTAATATTATTTAGTTGCAAAAATTATCTTCAATAAATTTATAAAAATTTAATTATTTATTTTATTTAAATTTATCTATCAATTAAATAATTTCATTATTTTTGTTATCAAAATGGCAGAAAACCAAAAACAAAATTCAATTTTAAGAGAAATTCGGTGGGGTGTTGTTGGTAATTTTTCGAATGTTTTTTTTTCCTTTTTTTCATTTTAAAACAATTTCTGACGCCATTTATACCCTCACACCAAACAAATTACAATTTAGACTCGTTATACTCGAAGTGATGTTATAACGAGAGGTATTTTGAAGGAGAATTTGGACTACTTTCTCTGGTTTTCGTTATTATAATTAAAAAGGTGATTTTATAACCAGAATGAAATGAATGAAAGTGAAGATGATAGAAGGATATACATAGTTATGTTTGGGAGTGAAAAAAAAGTCGAGACTGAGAGCGCAAAAACCCCAGAAATTTCCCGACTCGAGAGCCGAGACCGAGTCTCGAACATCACTAGAAAGATAGTCTTCAAATTTATATGAAAAATATATTCTTAGTTTTATTTAAATGTTAGATTTATTAATTTTTAGATTTATTTTTCCTTTAACTTTTTAGGTGTTGGTAAAATTGCGAGTGATTTTGTTCATGCTATTACCCTTTGCCAAACACCAAATAAAGTAATTATAAAAATTAAAAGAAAATTTTTAATTAAAAGATTAAAGCTGTAGCTTCTTCAGATTCCCTTGAAAGAGCTCAAAAATTTTGTGAAAATAATTTATTAGACAAGAATGAAGTTGACTGTTATGGAACTTATAATGAATTATTTAATGATGAATTTATTGGTAATTTTTGAAAGAAAAAAGTCCATTTACAGATAAACTTTTTTCAATAAAATTTGGCCTCAATCCGCCAGAAAAGACATTTCTCATTCCCAGAAATCGTAATACCATTTCCAGACATTTCCAAAACCGAAAAATATAATCTAGTGAGAACTGTAAAAATCGAAGGGGACCCTATTCTATTTAAGGCCAGCACTTTCCTTTTAGAGACAGAAACCTATAAAAAGTTAAAAACACCGGAAACCATTCCGAAATCATTCGACTTATGCAAGCAAAAGGATTTGGCAAGGAATGAGATGAGTCGAAATTTAAAAATTTTTCTGAGTTCGTGTTTCACTTTTAAAGACTATCTCCTTTATTGATATGTCAAGTAATACAAAAAATCTAAATTAAATTTTTTAATTTAAAGACGTTGTTTATATTTCCAATTTAAACCATCAACATAAGGAGACTGTTCTAGCAGCATTAAATTCCAATAAAAATGTTTTGTGTGAAAAAACGTTGGCTGTAAATAAATTAGAAGTTGAACAAATGGTTAAAAAAGCAAGAGAAAAGGGACTTTTTCTTATGGAAGTAAATTTTGATTGAAAAAAAATTTTAAAAATTGTTGTTAAAGGGTTATTGGACTCGATGTTTTCCCTTATGGAGTGATATTATGTCTAATCATTTAAATAGTTTGGGCAATACTGAAATGTTATCTGTCGAATTCGAATGTCCAATTAATGTAAATTTTAAATATTATTCGATTTTTACCACTGAACTGGGTATGAAGATTTGTCGGCTCCTGGCCCGACCTTCTTCCAAACCTGGCTTCAGCTCCGGCTCTGGGATTTTCAAAATTTTAGATCCGCCGGAGCCGGCTCTGGAGCTAGGATCCTGAGCTATCTCCCAGAGCTCAGAGCCATACCCATTACTGATTAAGTTTACAAAAAAATTTTTGTCCGCAAATCCTAAAATTATGTCCGCAAAAATTTTGCAAACATAATTTTTAAAATTCTCTAATAAAATTTTTCTCTTTTTTGCTGTTCTCATATTATATTTAACTTTTAACAATTTATTTAAGCGTGTAGATACAACTTCTGGAATAAAATACGGAGGAGAAGGTTATTTGTTAGCTTCTGGTTGTTATTGTTTATTGATTGCCCAATTAGTATTTAAATCAGAAAAACCTTTAGAAATTATTGTTAATGGAAAATTAAGAGAAAATGGATTAGATTGTTGGGCTAATATTTTAATTAAATATTCCGATAATAAATTGGCCAGAATTTTTTATTCTGGCGAGCATCGAGGTGATGGAGAGTTAAGCATTTATTGCGAGAAAGGAAATATTAGGGTAAGGAATTTTAAATTTTAAAATAATTTCTTTAATTAATAATAGATAGCTTTGCTAAAATCTGTCAGCTAATATAAATTTTTTGTCCGCAAATTTTAAAATTTGTCCGCAAAATATTTGCGGACAATTTTTGCGGACAAATTTTTTTTCTTTATTCTATCCGCAATATACATAAATATGCACATACTAATTGTAATTAAATTTTTGCAGATCCCAGAATACTTTTGGTGCCCAGAAGAGGCAATAATTCGTCGTTATCCAGACCCAAAAACAGTTCCACATGTACTTTCAGTTAAACCAACAACAGAAAAAATAAATAATTACCTACCAGAATTTAATTTATTTAATTATAATTACCCCAAAACTGCTGGACTTTTTTATCAGATAGATCATGTTAGTAATTGTTTGAGAGAAGGAAAGAAAGAAAGTGATTTAATGACTTTAAATGATTCGATTTTGTTGGCTGAGACTTTGGATGAAATTAGAAAACAATTGGGGGTTAGATACCCTCAAGACGATTTTTAGATTGATCTTTAGACGATTGTTTTAATAAAATGAATGTTTTTTGATTGATAAATAGGTATACTAAATTTGATAAAATTCATGTTAGTAAGTCCCTTCTATTTATTAAATGTGGTAAATTTAATCAGTCATCGAAAAAAAAGATTTGAGCAAATGCTAATAAATTACTAGACTATTTCGATTATTTAGATAAGTATCTTCAAAAGACTTAGATAAATATATTCAAATAAAAATCCTTTAAATTTTTGGAGGTTAAAGGGTTATACATATAGTCCAAATCCGATATTAATCCAAATTTTAGGATATCCACGATAGCATCGGAATTTTATCAGAAATGAAGAAATATAATTTATAAATGAAAAAACTGGGGTTGTAATAAGTTCTTGTTTCGAGATTTGAAAAAGAGTTTTTAGAGAGAAATTAAATAAGGGTATACATAAACGTTGGTATACCCAAAAGTTCTTTAGAAAATCATTAGATTTCACAATAGTCAATAAATCCTTAAAAATAAATGAAATTTTATTTTTTTGTTAATATGTCAAGTCATAAGCTTTTCTAAACGAAATTTTGTTTTTAATTGAATAAACAAAAAAATAAATTTTAGCAAAAAATAAAATTTAAATTTTAGCCAAAATTGCCATAAAATACAAAAATAGAAATAAACCCTTTCAAAAGTCAACTTTTTGGGCAAAAATACCCAGGTGTTTAAATATCACAAATAAAATTTTGTATCTGATGTTTGTGGGGAATTCTTAAAGTAAAAAGTGCAGATTAGACAATATAAATACAGTTATGTCGAGTTAGGTAATAAATCATTTTAATTAATTAAATTACCCTTTAAATTCTTAATAATTTATATTGTAATAAAAATATTTTTAGAAAAATTTATTAATTTTAAAAACATTTTTATTCCTTAATCAAGAAAATACTAGACAGCCTTTTACAATTTTAAAATGATTTTTTTTTATTTCATTTTGTCCATAAAAATTTCATTAGAGAGCAAAACAAAAAAGAATTTTTTTATCTTGATTTGAAATCAAAAAAAATTTTTTTTGATCACCCCTTCTTACATTTTTTTAGTTTTTAAATTATATTTTAATTACCAATTTAAGAATTTAAATAAAAAATGTTTTCCTCTTCACCCAAAATGTTTTTATTTTTTCTTTCAATTTTTATATTATTCCAATTAAACAACGGTGATATTAATACTAGCGTTGATCGTTGTATAGGTAGAGGTTGTAGACCTTATCATGGACAGACTTGTGACTATTTTAATTGTCCTGGTAACACTCAATGTTGTGGCAATTTAGTTTGTAAAGGAGGTGAATTTTGTATAGGAGGAAATAATGAATTATAAATAACGACAAAAATGTCTTGAAATGAGATTTATAATTATATATACATTTTTTAGGTACATGTTGTACTCCTCCTGGAGCATCTTGTACTAAGCAAAATGTATGTTGTGGCGGTCTTTGTGATAAACACAATAAGTGCCCCTGAATGTGAAAATGGAAAAGTGTTGTGAAATTATAGTATTTTCCAAACGAAGAACGTTTTTTACTTTCTTTTTCAAAATTTGGCTGTTAAATTCTTTTCTTTTTTCTTTAAAAACTATCATCTTTAATGCTTTATTAATGCTTTAATTATATTAATTTAAAAGAATTTTGTTAAATAAAACAGGGGATATTAAACGATTTTTTAAAAATAGTAATGTTTTTAATATATTAAATAGATCCTGATAGCTCAACGTGTACCGAAGCGAATATAAATAAATTATTTCTGTACGTTACGTTACTGAACGGTTATTTAGCCTCGTACTGAAATCGAACCTGTGATATTTTAATAATTATTTCAAATAAAAATTAAAAGATTACATGTTGCAGTAAGTGGATAAATATTTAACTCATACACTATTAAAAATAGTAGATTTTTGTATTTCCAATAGATCGTTGATTGGAGTTAAAATTAAAGTCGAATTTGAAAATGTTTAAGTGAATATTTGGATAAATTTAGTAAAGTTTATTGGATTTTGAAAGGTTATTGAAATATTTATTAAAAACCTCGGCTGTCACTTCAACTCGTATTTTGGACAATATTTATCCTCAACTTCGATCCCGGCTTTGCCAGTCTTGACTATTCTTGGTCGCAATTTTATTTCAAAAACCTAACCTTGTCTACTCTATTTTAACTTAACTCATTTTTACTTTATTCTTTTATTTTTACTCAATTTTTTTAACAATATCTTCCTCAATTTATTTAAAAATAAATCATTTAAAAAAGGTTTGTAAGCATTAGCAACATGTATTCCACAATTTATTGTGTAATCATAAAGTTTGGCTGAAGGTTTAACAAAACTTCCAAATTTAATAAAATCAAAAAAATATTTTGATTGTAAAGTTTTTGTCATACAAAAGTTACAATATCGATATCTTTTTTTGTTGGAATTTTTGTTGATTCTTCCAAATGTTAAAAATAAAAATTGTGGACTAAAAATTGTGTTATAATCAGGAGTGTAAACAAACTGCAGAAACTCGCACGGAGTTCTGCGGCACGCATTTCGCAGGAGTTAATGGTCCCTGGATTTGAAAAAGTTTTTGGAGAAAAATTAAATAGGGGGGTCATAAACGTTGGTATACCCAAAAGTTTTTTAGAAAATCATTAGATTTCACAATAGTCAATAAATCCTTAAAAATAAATGAAATTTTATTTTTTTGTTTATATGTCAAGTCATAAGCTTTTCTAAACGAAATTTTGTTTTTAATATGAATAAACAAAAATCATAAATTTTAGCAAAAATCAAATTTAAATTTTAGCAAAAATTGCCATTAAATACAAAAATAGAAAATAAACCCTTTCAAAACTCAACTTTTTGGGCAAAAATACCCAGTTGTTTAAATATCATAAATAAAATTTTGTATCTGATGTTTGTGAGGAAATTCTTAAAGTAAAAAGTGCAGATTAGACAATAAATCATCTTAATTAATTAAATCATTCTTTTAATATATTTTTATTTTATAAAAATATTTTTGGAGAAATTTATTAATTATATAAAAATTTTATGCCTCAATTAAGAAAATATTAGACAGCCTTTTACAATTTTATTTATCAATTTATATGCAATTTGACTGGAATTGGGAGGCTTTTTTCAATTTATATCGAACTGGGTTTTCTTTTAAATTGTTCCATTTCTCGGGTTAAATATTCCCTAAAAATTAAAAAAAGTACAGACAAAGTAAAAAATTTTAAAGCTGGGATTTTAAATAAATTTAGGAACTTGCAGATCAGGGAAATCCTTGATCCTACATAGATTGGTTTTAGTTAATTTAAAAAAGAGTTAAATTTTAACAAAGAATTAAAATTAGACAACATTGGACCAAGATATAAGGCTCGAAATGGTCAAAAACTATAGGTGGTGAGTAATAGTTTTTATGCGAGATTAAGAAAATGTTCACCCTACCCTCTTCCACAATTAATTAAAAATTCGTTAAAAAGTACAAATTTCCTAATATTTGAAAAAATATTTTTCACATGCACTTTAATTCTCACAAACAGACTTATTATTTTTTTAAATAATATAGTAATTTATTAATAAAATTATTAATAAATTACTCATTAAAGTCCTTGGGAATATTTGCCATAATTTTGTCAGCTATCCTCTTTATAAATATTATTTTTAATTAAAAAGCGGACTTGAGGATTGAAAGGGATTTACGATAGACAGGGGCTCGTCTAGACTGCTTAAGCAACCTCCCCTATACACCCAAAAAAATTTTAAACCAACTGGATTTATCCACCTAGGAGATAAAATTAATTAAAATATAATTTTCAAAAATCCGACTTTATAAAATTAATCATTTAAAATTTATTAGATATGCAAATAAACTATAAATTATTTGTTTTTATTAAAATAATATTCTGTTTTGAATTTTATAAAATAATTGAAAGCAATCTTTATATTAAAATTGAATGGAGAAAATATGAGAAAAGTTTGCCTCCTGAATTATTTAATAAACTTGATCAAACGGATAAAAATCGGTTTGAATTGAAGCTTTATGTGGAAAAGTTACAAGATTCTGAAGGATACACTATTCATTCAAAAATGACAGAAAAATATGATTATTGTAAATTTACTAAGTATGAATTATCTACAAACGACAAAACGCCTGTAGATTTTCAAGGAAATAATTATACTTTGGAGGTTTTGTTTAATAAAAAGGTAAGAGCAGACACATTTTAGTAGCTCTTTTCTCAATGGCAAAATTCAGAATTACATAAAGCCTGTTTTAGTAATTAGAGATTTTGATTGTTTCGAGATCAAACAATCTATCTCTCTTTAATCTAGGGTTCAACCCGTTCCCCGGGGAAAGGAACGAATTGAACATCTCCACCCCCCTCCCTCCCTTACCCCCAGAGCCTACAAGAGACTTTCCTTTGAGAGGCCTATAAGAGACTTTTCCATAAGATCACTCCCTACTCAGTAAAAATCAACCCTATGTACTTTAATCTCACTACATATAATGATAGATTGTAGAGAGTTTGTGAGAGGCCTCGACAAGGTCCAATCCCTATTTATCAAAAAACTAATATAACTGGATTGTTTCTACAATACATATGTATTTAACATTCATATTAAATAGAATGAAATAGGTCGTCAGGAACGGCCACAATCCGGATTATCAATTAAATTTTGAAAATTAAAATTCTTTAATTTTAAAGATTTTGCTTGGGCCAGTGCAAATTGATGGGGGAACAGGCAAGGCTATCATAATTCCCTTGATTTCCTCAGAAAAAATAATATACAATTCTAATGATAAAAGAGAATTTTTGGATTTTGAGAGGCCTATAAGAGTGCTTAAATTTATTGTAAACAAATTTCAAAATAATCTAAAAATGAGTTTAATTTGTTTGTGGGGACGAAGTTTTGTATTTAAATTAGTAGAAGAATCAAATTATTATTCAACCTTATATCATTATCGTCGTGTTTGTACGGCGGATAAATATTT